CATGAGTGGACATAAGGAGAGTAGGCCTCTGTCCAGGCCATGTAACTAACACCATAAAGAAAAGCAATTACAGAGTGGACAAGTGCAGGCGTCTGTTATATTTTTGTACTTGTGCATTTTGTCCTTGTCCCGTGGTATAATGATTGTACCTGTGCTCTAAAACAAATCGACTGAAAGCTAGAACGTAGGTGCCTGGAAATATTCCCAGTTGCATGAAAGGAATTTTCAGAAACTGAAATCCAAAGTGTATATAAGGAAAGCCTGGGTTCATAAGAGCCCGACCATAGAGGACTTGTTGTCTTCAGTAAGTGTCAGAAATATCGTGTTTCTGAGTTGAGCATGCGTAATCACCATCACGACCACGGCACATTTACTTGTGGGAAACTCCGATTTTTGGATAAGCCCCAAGTTTCCAAGTTGGGACAGCACGTCAGCAAATAAGCAGTGTTAGCCGCTGATAGTTGTATTGTAAGCTGGGTGTATTACTGTGATTTAGCAGGCATACATGAACACCAGGCTGAAATCACCCGAATATAAATGTGAATGTAAGCGCATGATATGTGATGTTTTTTAACTGGATGAAATTATTACTCATCTCATAAGCATCCCCTGCTGTCCATTTTGTGGCAGAATAACAGAACACAAAGGTAAACAAAAAGAATTATTCTCAGTACTTTTGTGTTATTTCTGACCAAAACCACTCGAGCACAAACCAAGTTGTACTTGGAACCAAAGTTGTAAAGAAGGAATTTTTGAGGAGGACAGCATTATTACAGCTCCTGAGACTGCAGTAACACTGACGTGGTGGTGGTGTGTTAGTGTGTGTTGCGCTGGTACGAGTGGATCAGACACAGCAGTGCTGCTGGAGTTTTTAAACACCTCAGTGTCACTGCTGGACTGAGAATAGCCCACCAACCAAAAATATCCAGCCAACAGCGTCCTGTGGGCAGCGTCATGTGACCACTGATGAAGGACTAGAGGATGACCAACACAAACTGTGGAGCAGCAAATGAGCTATCCTCTCTGACTTTACATCTACAAGGTGGACCGACTAGGTAGGAGTGTCTAATAGAGTGGACAGTGAGTGGACACAGTGTTTAAAAACTCCAGCAGCACTGCTGTGTCTGATCCACTCGTACCAGCACAACACACACTAACACACCACCACCACTACTTCAGTGTTACTGCAGTGCTGAGAATGATCCACCACCCAAATAGTACCTGCTCTGTGAGGGTCCATGGGGGTCCTGACCACTGAAGAACAGGGTAAAAGGGGGCTAACAAAGTATCAGAGAAACAGATGGACTACAGTCTGTAACTGTAGAACTACAAAGTGCACCTATATAGTAAGTGGAGCTGATAAAATGGACAATGAGCGTAGAAACAAGGAGGTGGTCAGAATGTTACGCCTGATCGGTGTATATATATATATATATATATATATAATATATATATATATATATATATATAGTAGTGTGTTTAAGAAATGCTTCTGACATGTTAGTTTGGGTTATATGTTCTTCAGCATTTCTTCACAGGGTTGTTCTGCCTAGGAACTTGGCCGGCCTGAGGGGATATGTGTTGTGAGCAGAGAGAGCTGAGAGAGTGAGACGTGAGCAGAGTAGCAAATGAGCTGTTAGTAAAAAGAAAATGCTTATGTACAGCGTAGCTTTCGCCACCACACAACAAAAACTGTGTCTCTTTTAATTGCGATGAAGGCTACAATATATAGAAACAAAGCTGCAGAAGCATCTCATCTGCTGCAATAACACAGCATGTAATTTTATTTTAGGAAAATAATCACACTACACAATCACATCATTCCACTGTCTAAAAACAGACGTTGTCTTTTTTTCACACTTTCTTCTTTCCAGTTGTTGTAGTTTTAGCACTGTTCGGTCAGTGGGGGTTCAGTGCATTCACTGCTCTACCTCAAATTCACCTACAACCACAGCCATTGGCTCATGAGTCATTGAATGCCATCATTTTTATTGGTTCCCTATGGAAAAATCTGCATAAATTAAGGCACGCCTCATGTAAATGAGATGTAACATGTGTGTTACCTACACACTGCATACCTATACAGGTCAATGAGGCGAAAAGGGGTACAGTTCAAGTCTTGCATCCACCCCTTCACCCCACCCCCATCTGCCAGGGCAACTGCAGCAGCCTGTGCTGAAAGGCTGGGAAGCAGACGAAACAGACACAAAACAAAACAGTTCTTTCTTAAAATCAGCTCGCCTGAAAAATGTGAGAGCATTCCTAGAAATATTTTGACATGACAGCTCCATGAATCTTCTCTGATTTTACGACCTGAAGCTGATTCATCATTTGCACTTAAGTCTCTGTTTGTTTCCATGTCGTATGAAGGTTTTATGAATCAGACACAAAGTAGTTTTTATATTTATGTCATGTTATGTCAAAAGTGGTCCAATCTATACTACAGCCATCCATGGCCAGGAGTCCAAAAGAGTGCAGTTGGCCTCTTTGGGAGGACAGGATGGTCCTATCTCTCCCCCCATCACTCAGCGCAGTGCTATCCAGCACAGGTGTCTGTTAGCTGACGTGACAGAACTGGCCGTTTGTGTTCTCCTCCGAGCGTGTTGAGCTGTCCAATGATGTGTTAGCGGCAGTTCAAAAAGATGCGGTGGAGCTTCAGACGACTCAGAGGAAGCTTGTCCTCCTAGTGACAGTGGCATTGAGTGGTTTTGGTCAGTACAATGCAGGCCAGTTTTTAACTGTGGCACATCGAGGGTCGCCAGTGTGTATTTAATGTTGCATTACACACCACAGTAAATTGCAATAGGATATTTTGTCCGTATCTTGCTGCCCTGTGATCTAATACACAATATTCATACCTCTGCTATAGTAATAAACTAGTTTCTTTACCCATAATTTTATACTTTAAACTCTCAGATTAGAGATTACTAAATCTTTGATGAAGAAAATTTGGTCCGTGTAAGCTCTCTAGTAGACCAATCCAGGCCCAACATCAAGAGAAGGCACTGACAGGCTAAGCTGCCCTGAGAAGACTTCAAACCCCTTTTAACCAACCAGAGACAGAGTGAGAAGACAATAAAGTGCTTAAAATATACTCAACACTTGCTGGTAATTTAAACTTAAATATTTTAATTAGACATTCTGTGTTGTTCTTGTATTACAGCAACATATTCTGAACACACACGGGCAGCTTTATTTTCTTAGTCCTCCAATCACTGCTGAGCAACATTGCTGTCCGTCGTTACCTCAGTTAGTTTCTCAGTAAGTAAGCAAAAAAAGCAAAATGTTAGTTTGTGTTAAATAAAAAAGTTGCTGTGCCGTTGTTGTGAGTTTATTGCCATTTTTAAATGGTATTCAAGGTAAGATATAAATGGTCCATAAACATCTATGTTTTAATTTGCTGGGGTTGTTTTCCTTCAACTTTGCTGTGTAACTTACGTCTCAGCTGCCTAGTGATGGGCACCCTTTAAGCTCTTTTTGAGTCTTACTTTTTGTTCCCAAAAATAGCCACGTTAGCGATATTTTTGATCATTTAATTTTGAAAAAAACATAGTCTACCTTTTAATTAATCAACAAAAATGGCATTATGATTATTATTTAACAGAGCGCAGTACTGCACTGCACTGTGTTTAACTCTGTTCCTTTTTCTCTGGGTATCAACATGGACTTTTGTTTCTAGCAGTATCTGAGCTCAGGACCTGCTTTCTCTCTAACCTATTGGTAACTAGCAAAGACACTTTCTCTGAGGGACAACAAAGCACTTTTTGTAAGTCGCTCTGGGTAAGAGCGTCTGCTAAAGGCTGTAAATGTAATTAAAAATCTATTAGATTAACAATTTCACTGGATTCATTTCAAGATAAGCTACATGAGCAAAAATCAGAAAAACTACGGAGACACATTTGGAAACACGGCTAAGAATTATACGAAAACTGCCAAGAACAAAAGCAAAGACAAACTAACTCAACATGCAACAGGTTTGGGGCTAACAAGGAGAACATGTTGTAATCAGCTGTTCACACACAGGACAGATCACTACAGCTGTCTGTTTGATACTGAAACTGCACCTGTGACAAGCAGATTCATGTATTAGTGAAGTGTTGCAGTGATGGTTTGGTTCATGTGTTCTTGTTTGCATACGAGTCGGGTGAACGTTGGGAGCCGACTCGCATTGATCTGTATTTTGTAAGTAAAGACCAAACAAATGTGTAGATCTTATGAGGCTGTAGATGTGAATCACAAACTTCTCCTGGTTCTTTGGAACATTCCAGCCTGGTCCCCTCAGAGTTTGCCTCTGGTTTTGTTCTTGGCGGTGTTCGTGTAATTCTCAGCTGTGTTTCCAGGTGTGGCTTGTTAGTTTTTCTAATTTTTAATTGCCTTTGCTTGTCGATAGCTGACGGATTTTCCTGTGTTTTGTCCCTCTGTCTATCTTCAATTAAAATCATTTAAATAACAAACATAATACATTTTGATTACTTAGACAGTAGTCTAATGTTTTACTGAAAATTTTGGGAGCAAAAAACTGACACTGTTATTGAATGAAGAACCATCTGGGAGCCAATAAAGTCGACTTGTCTTTGTGAGCTTACTGAGCTCACTGAAAAAGCTGGGGCTCAGCAGATGAGCTCGTACATGCGTAGTAACTTTCACACTTCTTGTTCTTAAAGAGTTTTTCCTGCCACTCCCACTCTCAGCTTGCATTACTCATGACAGGTTTAGACCTGTACAGCACTGCTTTGGGACAAAAGCACGGCTGCCAAAGCACTGTATAAATAGAGTGCACTTGACTTGTGTGGTCACGTTCTTGTATTCATCTGCCCGAGGCTGTGTGGTGTGAAGCAGCAGGCATGTCTTTAACATAAACAATAGTACATGGTTACACTCAGTTAAGAGTAAATTAGAGCCACAATTATGCATTTAACACAGGTGAGTCATGTTACAAATGCAAAAATAAAAGAAACCCCCCCAAAATTTTGAAGAATTTCTCAAATTTTACCAAAATTAAAACATCACAAAGTCAGTGCCTTAAAGTTTCAGTCTTGAGCACTGAGGACAGCCAGTGAGTTACGGCATAAAATGAACAACAGCGAGTTTGTTGACCTACAGCTGTTCCTTTATTTATCTGTGTTTGTTGTCTAATATGCCCCTTTTCTTAAACCCCCTTTCTTTCCTTAGCTAAGAGTCTCCTTTGCCGTTCAGTGGGCTGATTTCTGCCGGTACCTCCTCTGGCGTTTTGCCTGTAAGGAAGGAAGCAATTGTTAGTAAGTATAAAATTCGAAAGTTGTGCTTTTTGAGCCAAAAAAGAAAGAAGCCTAAAAATGTTGGCTGAGAAAGCCAAAGATTAAACAGGCCTACAGTGAGGTATCAAAATCTATTGATACAATATTTTTAATATTGTTCAAAAAATAATTTGAATAATACTGAAAATGAGAAACAGTGATTAAAAACGCTGTTCTTTCTCTCTCCTGCATCGTCCACACAGATATACTCAGACAACTTGAGCTGCAGATCAACAGTGAAACACTTTGAACTCAGGATAGTTTTTCACTTACATGCTTTTACACATGAACTGATTTAATTAAATTCTTTAACGGACATCACATAAACGATACAGAGTAACTTAACATCATTTGTTAATAAACCTTTTTACCTCTCACTTTGACAGTTGTTATTGCAAACACGTGTTCGTGCTTATTATGGATTTAGATCCTTCTTATGCTAAAATTATTGGCTGAACACTAAAGCAACTTGCATGCCAATAGCGCCCCCTCCTTGAGACACTTCAGACTGCTGGGCAGGTGTTCCAAAGCAAAGTCCAAGCTCTTTAGTTATTAAAAAACGAGGTGTTTTAGGTCGTTATAGTAGACACTTTCTTGAATTCAGATTTAGATGCTTTTGGGAAACCATATTTTCGAAATTTTACAGTTTTTTGTATTTAATGTTAAACAAGCTGTTTAATATCAAATTAGTCCTCTAGGTCTCTCAGTTCAGTGTTTCTTTAGCTCTCTCTTAGTCGCCTTTGAAGCAGTGTCAGCATTATTATGTATATTTAAAAGCATAAATCTTAAATTATATATAAAAAAAAAAACATTTCTTTCGCTTTTTGGTCAAGAATTTTCATTTCGCTGCATCACAAAGTTACTCATTATGCTTCACAAGTGATAATATTGACTTTATTACAAACACTTACCTTGTACTTCCACTCACTGGACACTTTAAGGTCCACCTACTTTATTGGTCCACTGTACAGATGTGAAATTACAGACTACAGATCTACTGTCATGCACAATTAGCCACCCTCAACCCCATTCATCATTGGTCAGTTTCTGACCACAGAACTGCTGCTGACCAGATATTATTAGCTATGTTGACAGTAGTCCACTACCCAAATAATACCTATCCAGGAGCGGCTCTGTGGTCAGTAAGTGACCACTGATGAAGGGCTAGAAGACACAAAATTGTGCATCAAAAGATCTACAGTCTGTAATTGTCCACCAGCAGGGCAGGCGTTTCTAATAAGGCTGCCAATGAGTGAAGTTTAGGTGGTTTAAACTTCAACTTGTTTGGTTTAAAGAACAGAAATGCCTGCAGCTCTAATACCTTTCACAGCCTGCATCTCTGTGTCTTCCTCCAACGCTTTAGAGTTTCCTACAGACAAAAGACACATTATGAGCATTTATGCTCTCACATCATTGGTCCACAACATATCATCTGTCAGAAAACAACCTTGTAACATAATTTGTCTTGTTTTTTGTTTTATTTTTTAACATAATCTGAAAAATGTATACTGTGTCAAAATTTCATGACAAATGAAACGGAAACAGGCCAAAATGACAGAATTATCCACTTTTCGGGTACTTTTTTGGGATCTGAGATTTTGTTCCATCACCATTAATATGTAATTAACAATATGAATTATTTAATGTTAAGTTTTAGTAATTATGGGAAAGTATATGCAAACAAAACAGACTAATATATGATTCATTTACCTATGTATTTTCTGTATAAGTAGTAAAGGACACCAAGGACAGTCAGCGCAGCCACCACCACTGCCAGCACCCACAGCTTAGACTTACTATTTTCTATAGAGAGATATTGGCAAAAAAGGATGTATGTAGGACAGATATGAATGAAGGGAACATAAATAATGTACATACAGTATCCAGAGTCTGGACACCTGTGGTTAAAGAGCATGTTTTGTTGATTTTCTGTGAAAATAAGTTAACATTTCTCTACAGAGAATACATTTTAAAGCAAAATCACTTTACCAGCAAAGATTAAACAAAAAAACAACATATTTTACATATATGTGTTTTTCCCAATATGTCAAACTTAGCTAATAAGTAGAACTTGTGCAGTAACTGCTCAGAACAAATGCCATATTTAAGTTTGTTGCTTGTAGAGGATGTTCATGTCATCGAAATCAATGTCATGTAGCCAGGGGTGTTCAGAGGTCTGCATACAACTGCATGCATAAATCCTACATGCTCACTGAACGTTTCCCACAGTTTCCTACCTTTCTGTGCAGCTGCACTGGAAGAACTGACGCTGACGGACGTTTGGACTATGTATGTGACCCGGGGGCCTGAGAATGTACAGGTGTATTTCCCAGCATGCTTTGAGACCTCGTGATCATCTAGATAAAGGGATCCATCCCCGGTTCGAGCCTTTTCCAGGTCCAGCTCTGCCTCTTCTTTCCACTGATTTATGACCTTGTGGCTTTGACTGTGGTAGGTAAGAATATCTTTGTTTTTGTTCCTTTTTGCAAACGTCCAAGTGAGAGTGAAGTTTTTCAGATTTTTCGGAGCCAGGCATGGAATGATCAGTTCATGGCCAATCTTTCCTACCATTTCTGTTGAGAAAAAGAGGAAAAATGAATTTGCATTCACCACCATGAACACTAGAGGGCAGATTTCACCTTCAGTGCCTCAAGAACACTGTCAGAGCAGTAGATGAAGTTCATATAATGAATGGGCCTCACATTTAGTTATGACAGTACAATAATACATTTTGTTTGTAATAAGCTTTTCTAAATCCCAAAGAGCTGTAAAATAAAACCACAACAAATGCAAAACAAACAAAATGCTATGCATGTAAAGTCACACCGCTGACAAACGATACAGGCGATTCAATTGTAAAACAAATGCTACAGTGGTAAAATAAGCACAACTAAGACTAATTAATCAGCTGCTAAAGATACGGCACACATGGGTGCTTCATTCTTCTCCCCACTGTCCGTTTTACAGAGATATTTTAGGGCAAAGCAGTTCTGCAAAGCCAGACAGTTACACTGAAGTCCAAACTGATTGGTTAGAATTGTCACTTAGAGAAAAACATTAGATTTGAGCTGCTTGGCTGATGTCTTATCAGTGTAGTTACAGTCTTAGAAGCAAAGTGGTTTTTGGACGGATGGTTCTAGGAAAAAGGTAATCGGTACAGAACTTTTATATTATGTGAAGGTTCTTCACACTCATACATCTCATTTACTGCTGAAAGGTTCTTTAGGGAGCCAAAAGTTCTCCCTTATGACAATCCTCCTTAGAGACCTTTTTGGAGCCTTTCTGTTGAAGAGTGGGTGTGCAGATTTGTATTTGTAGCCTTCTACACAGCTCCAAGCGTGAGCACTTACCTATTGGTAGAGCCATGAGTGACTACAGGGGAAACTATGTGTGTTTATATGGCCTCATGTTGTTCCATCGCTTTTAGGTCATAGAACTGCAGTTAAGTAAATATATGAAATGTATATGAAATATAATTTGAAACTTCTCTAAAGGTGATGACTTGGAAAACAAACTGTTAGGTTGTAGTATTGCAGTGGGGTTGTGGATAATATTATAATTAGACACTATACCTGTCTGAAGCAGTGAGGCCTTCCATGACTGTGAGCTGTACTTGGATGTGATGGTGCAGATGTAGGTGAGCGGGGTGCTCTTGTTCACTTTCTGCAGCGTGCTCTCCACACTGTACAGGCCGTTTGAATCTGGACTCATTCGTATGAGAGACCGCAGGTTACCGATGCTTGGATTTGTAGACCACGTCAACACAGGAGCTGGATACAAACCATGTGATGAGCATTGAATTTGCCCAGTGGGGCTGGCCTCTATGGAGATCCTGCTGATGGGAGCTGGAATAAGCATATAGTGAAGGTTAAACGCTATACAAACATACTGAAGGCTGTAAGTTACAACACTATAACATCTCAGTCACATGTTTGTTTATATATATATATATATATATATATATCGCTGCTGTCAGAAGAAAACCTCAAATTTCCATTTTTGTTGTGTTTCAGTTCTTGACATAATTTGAAAATGCCTGTTGCTCTTTACATTGTATGTAAATTTAGTTTTGTACTGGATCTGTGAGGGTAATGTAAGTTTACTGCCATCGCATTATCTCAAATAGGCTTGCTAATGTGGTTTATGACTCTGTAATAGGGTACTATTGAAATTATTGGTAATAAGTTCAAATTATTCATATTTATGAGGAAATTAGACATAAAATAGTCCACGTGCACAAAGAAGGGGCGAGTCAAAAGAGAAATAAGTGGAAAAAAGAAGTTTCCAAAAATGGAAAAAAATGGAAAAATATCTGAAGCCCCCACTCTTTCTTCAGATGTGAAGGTGTTTCTGTCCATCCTTTCACTGTGAGAGGACAACTCAACACTATGGATCTACAAGGGTCTGTAGCTGAAAGAACTCTTTACTGAAAAGTGGAAAAGAGGTCAAACAAAGAAGCTGATGCTGTTCTCAGAACAGTGGCCTGGCGACCCAGAGTCCAGACCTCAACATCACTGAATGTGTCTGGGATTATTTGGATCATAAAAGCGAAAAATGCAACCAGCTTCTAAGACTGAAGTTTGGAGGTGTGAAAAAATATCCCTGCAGATTTCTGAAAAACTGAAATCAGGTCTCCTAAAAAGAATAAAAGCTGTAACGAAGGCAGAACGTGGACACACTAAGTACTGAAAAGTATATTTAATTGTTGAGGTTGAGAAAACACAGTAGGAAGTGTATGTGAGATAACTTAACAACTCTGTGTAAGTTTGCATCATTTGTTAGTGCAAAACTATGTAAAATACAAACTATAACTGTAAAGATTACGACCACTTTGTTTTTTTTTCAGGGGATCTAGTTTTACAGTGGCTTACATGGCCATTTATCATTGATGATACACTTTGATTCACTCAGGTAAACGCAGTATGTGGCTGTGAAGTCATACGTGCCAGTTTATCTCTTTGCTTTAAATGTATAGCAAAAACCATCGTCAGGTCGAAAGATTCACACTGTAGCTTCAGTGAGAATGGGCAGGGCAAAACTGCTGTAAGCTGAATAGACATGTTTATGAAAATGAGTTTGTTTTACTGACTGTTTAGTGGCGGTTTTTGTAGTTTAGTTTCCATGTCTGAACTGTATGGACTGGGGAGTGATTTGAAGCTAACAGTGGTTACATATTATATACCACTATTTAAAAAAGTCGAGTAGAAAAGTGAGTAAAATGTAGTTTTAAAACCAATATTTTGATTAGTTTACTCAAAAACAAGACTAACCTTCAACTTTCACTATGACAAACGACTCCTTGACAGTTTTGGTGGCATTGATCAAACATCTGTACCGTCCTCTGCTCTGAATCCTGCTGTCCTTCAGAAGCAGGGAAGCGTTTCCTTTGGACACCTCGTCGGTGAACAGTGACATGCTGCTGTCGTCAGGTTCGTCTTCACCCTGCTGGAAGCTGTATATCAGCTTCTCCTGTTGGTACCATTGAATAACAACCACATCATCAGTTGGAGGGAAGGAACAAGGCAAGATGCAGTCTTCAGAGTAGATGCACGTGACGTCAACATCTGAGGAAAACAAAAAAAGGGGTGCATAAATTTATAACTCATAATGGGCACTTCACCTTTCAAAATCAGTTGAGAGTCATCGTGTAACTGTGTGACAGTATGCAGTCACTGTCACCGGGGGAATTCCTTTCTCAGTTGCTAGAGGGCAGTGTCAACCCCTAGTTCAGGAGAAGAAGAAGAGATTTGGAGGGAAACTTAAGTATGTTTGGGGTGTAAGGCTCCAGAAACATGTTCCTTTAAACCCTTGTTGAGGAATTGTATGTTCCTTGTCTCAACGTGAGTAATGTGTTTGTGTTTGTGAAGCTTTTTATACAATGTTAGCTTCGTCTCGTTGTAGAGAAAGTGATGGATGGTAACGTCTCATTCATATGTTTTATACATGTTTTTGTTTTCTTTTCCAGAAGGGTTTGGTTGTACTGGATTTGGTCTGGGTGAATCTCCAGACTTTTTCAGAACGTTTTGGCTCTGTGAGCCAACGACCAACTCTCTGTGGGTTTGAGGAACTTTGCTACAGTCACCTGGTGTCCTGCTGTGTGTCTGGATGCGAACTAAACTTACCCTGGATTACTGATGAACTGCATCATCTCATACAGGTATGAAAAGGCCTTCGGGCATGGAATGGACATTCTGAGAACTGGTGAGACGGTTTCAGTTTACCTGCTTAAAGCTCATTGCAGAGGGACTTGTTTTGTTTCTGATATGGTAAGTTTTGGTGGTTTATGTTTTTTTTTTCTGCATTATTCAAATGATAAATGAGCTCCACTTACTATATAGGTGCACTTTGTAGTTCTACAGTTACAGACTGTAGTCCATCTGTTTCTCTGATACTTTGTTAGCCCCCTTTTACCCTGTTCTTCAGTGGTCAGGACCCCCATGGACCCTCACAGAGCAGGTACTAATTGGGTGGTGAATCATTCTCTCATGTTTGGTGGACTACAGTCTGTAACGGTAGAACTACAAAGTGCACCTATATAGTAAGTGGAGCTGATAAAATGGACAATGAGTGTAGAAACAAGGAGGTGGTCAGAATGTTATGCTTGATCGGTGTAGTTGTAAATGGATTGTGGGAACTTGCTTGGTGGATACATTTCACTATAATTCTACTAAAAGGTAAAATGTCATCTGTTTCAAACTAAACAGTAATGGCAGTAAAGGCTGTTTTTGTTACTGTGCCTTTATATTTGTAAATGATCTCTGCTTGGATTGGCTGCCCTATATCGGCTGTCATTCAAAAAAAAGTCCAGGTCGAAAGATTCACACTGTAGCTTCAGTGAGAATGGGCAGGGCAAAACTGCTGTAAGCTGAATAGACATGTTTATGAAAGTGAGTTTGTTTTAGTGGCTGTTTAATGGCAGTTTTTGTAGTTTCCATGTATGAACTGTGAAGTGAAGGACTGGGAAGTGATTTGAAACTAACAGTGTTTACATATTACATAACACTATATTTAAAAAAGTCAGGGAGAAAAGTGAGTAAAATGTAGTTTTCTGAACGTGGACCCTTTTAAAGCTACTTAAAACGAATGGTAAAACTTTAGTTTTAAGTCTGCAGCATGGTCAGTACACTGTGTCTCAAAGTGTCCAGACACCCCTTTTTATTAGTGAATTCAGCTACTTTAATGTGCACTCATTACTGACACAGGCGCTCCACTACACTCACACAGCCTGTATAACCTCAAAGCAGTGCCGATTACATGGGATGCTCTGGAGCTGCCGGTTATAAGCCTAAGGTCGCCATGCGCAATGCCAAGTGTCAGCTGGAAGGGTATGAAGTCCCCCAGCAATGGGCTGTGGAGCAGTGAAACTGTGTTCTCTGGAGTTATGGAACTCCATCTAATACCTTTGGGATGAGTTTGAGTGGCATTTGCAAACCAGAACCAATCATCCAGCATCAGTACCTGACCTCACTAATGCTCTGGTGGCTGAAGGCAATCAAATTCTCACATGTAATGTAAAGCCTTACCAGAAAAGAAGAGGCTGTTACTTAATTAGCAGGTGTCTACAAACTTTTGTGAACATAGTGAATGTCATTGAGGTTGTTATGTTTTCCTGGTCGACTTCACAATAATAAAGACATTGATTAGGTTCTCCTAGAAAATTTTCCAGTTTATGAATTTCTACAAGATTGTTTCTGTAAGGGCCCAGTCTGCAAAGTGCCACAAGTTCAGGGAACTCCAATTCCCAGAAGCCCTCGGGCTGATAAAGCCCAACCTGGCACACCTGTGGACTCCTCTACTTAAGGCTGTGGCAAACAGCAGCCCTTTGTCACACCTTTGTAGAGGGGTGACCGGTACGGTACTTAGCCCAGGTGGGTATTTAAACAGAAGGAAAAGGAAAAAAGGGGCAACAAAAGAGAGAAATTGCCCCAAAACTACTTCAAGCCAATAAGAAGGCTAGAACAAGAAACGACTCCAAGCCATACAAAAAGTGTACATACATAAAGTCAACCTTCCTCTCATAATTACAGAGGAAGTGTTTTTGTTTTCTGATTATCTTTTCTTTCACTTTTCTCGCCTTTGTTTGCCCTTTTCCCATCGTTTTTTTTTTTTATTTTTTTTTATTTCCCATTCCTTGAGTTGTTTTTCCTGTTTTTGCTTGTGCTTCCCAGTGGTGCAGCAGTAACGCCTCAAACCGCCAATCAGTACATTGCGGTTCGAGCCTGGCTATGAGCCACCTCAACTCCGACATGCACAACCATGAAATTCACACTCCATCACCTCAATAAATTCATTTAGGATCCTTTCTCACGGGTTCTTCTTTCTGCACTTGGGTCCGCCTCCCTGCCATCCCATAAGAGTTCCTTTACTTTCCTTATGCAAAATGTCCTTCACAGATATTGGCACCCCTGGTGGACATGAGCAAAATGGGCTGTAAAAAAAACATTTTTTATTGCTCATCCTTTGATCTTCCATTCAATATATTTACAAACATCTAATCTTTTTTTAGAGTACAAACTAAATCTTGTATGAAATAAATGTTTCTTAAATCTGTGTGCCACAATGGTTATTTATTCCCCATTATATGTTCCCATTCATATTTTATATTTTTAAGTTCACCTGAGCAATTAGGAACACTTAAATGGTCAGCCATAACTTCCTGTTTCACTAGGGAATGTATATGAGATGAAACACAGGCCAAGTTCCTTCGTTCATGCATCACTTTGAGAAAGAACAGAGAAAACAGCAATGATGGTCAACAAAGGGTTGTTGAGCTGCACAAATCAGGTAATGACTGCAAAAAAATAGCTAAATATAGCCAATAGCCAATTTCCACTACCTGGGCAGTAATTAAGCAGCCTAAAAACAACCGGAGATTCTGCTGGGAAGAATCTGCTGGGAAGAGGATGCCTGTCTATACTGACCCCACGCACAGTGAGGAGGATGGTTTGAGTGAATCTCCATCACAGCTGTGGAACCGCAGACATTACATAGGTCTTGGGGTTGGAACGTCTCCCAAACTGCAATCAGACACCACCTACATAACCACAACTTTTTGGGAGGGTTGCCAGAAGAAAGCCTTGCTATTAAGAATCAACAAACTCAACCTTTTCCAAACCACCCCCCCACACACACAATAAACATGCGCTGCTGCAGCTTTTTTAAGTGCTCTCTGTCCATTTTGAGTTTCTATGCTTTTTCACATCAATGGTTTCAATGATAATCTTTAATACATTCACATATTATGTAATATAATATATAATATATATTACATAACCAAACATCTTTTAAAATTACTTCACCTGTCTTTTAACTGATGCTACCGTTCATGAGCTTCTTCTGGTGACGAGTCATGGGGAATTCTGTGCTAATAGCGCTCTCTACTGGAGAAACTTCAGACTGCAATGGGTTACTAAAGCCATGCCCATGATGTGTTTTCTGCTGTTATAGTAAGGTTGCTCTGTAATTCAGTTATAGATGTGTTTGGAAAACATGAATATATTTCCACAATTTTTATAATTTAATTCCTATAAACCACCGGAACACCTAAGCTGTCAGGAAAATACTAAAAATTTTTTATACCCTTTGCTGATCCCATTTCCTGGCCATAGACAGTGATCAGAGAGACTTTCTCTACTTCAAAACATTCCAGGGATGGAGCTAATTTAGCTGGTCAAGGGTAATATAATCCAGACACTTCAGCTTGGTTGCTTTACTGCAGAGAGACACACTGAGGTGCAGTGAAGCTCATAAAGAAAATTGAGTATAAGGAGGAGAGGCCTATAGGTAAAGCTAGCATTACAGTGCATAGCAGAGCGAACAGCCAGCTTCTCAACAAACCTTCTCCTCTCTCTCTCAACTATTACACTTCTTAAATGTGAACCTGAATATCCCAACAGATTCAGCTGTAAATACTCCTCTCTAGTTCTCTCTGTTTCCCAAAGTGCTGATTATTGCCTTTAAGCACTGTCATCGGGTTACCTGTCAATCATCGACAATATTGCATCAAATCACCTTTTTGTCCATGCCTTCTGCTGTGAGATGACTGCTTTTGGCCACAAGAGCTTTAGTGAGATCAGGTACTGATGTTGGATTAAACTGAGGCGAGAACCTGACCTGTACTATGGCTACGTTCACACAGCAGGTAAAATCCAATTTTTATTGTTAGGCTGTTCACAATACCTTTTTAATGTGACCCATATCCAACTTTGAACAAGTCAGAACAAATCACGCTCCTAAACTGAATCGCTCTCTCAGAAGAGCAGTGGTGGACAGTAACTCAGTAAATGTAATTTGTTTCTGTACTTAAGTAGTTTTTCCTGTATCTGTACTTTACTGAAGTTTTTCCATTTTGGGTGACTTTTTACTTTCACTCCACTACATTTCACAGTCAAATATCTCACTTTTTACTCCACTACATTATGAGAAATCTGTCGTTCCTTTTGGTTTATGTGTGCATAAAAACGTAACATGTCAAAACGAAAGAAGCACAAAGCAAGAACACCAATCAGGGCACAGCGGTCACTTAGTTTTGAGCTTGTTTTGACCTGTTGGTCATACCGACCCA